GTCGTTTAAAAGTTTTCGTCTGTATATAATAAGATTACATAAGAATTGCAAATCGCCGATAAAAGAATTGAACGTCGGAATTGATAAGCCGCGTTTAACCGCTTCCCGGATAATAAACGGTCGTTCATGTTCTGTCGTATCTCGTTCGGATATTTTCACATGCACGTGTACCGGTTACGAGTGTACACTGACTTATGATTCCTGAAAGTAAGAAACACAGTTTCATGAAACCGCCTTGGGCAACTATGTATGCACTTAGTGATGCAAAGTTGACTTTGCAATTTTGTTGTAATCGAGCAAATACATATTATGTAACAATTTTTCTTTTCTCATTACTCATGAAAAAGTGCGGTATAAAAAAAGATTAGTGCACACGTTGTATCTTATTAAGCCGTTTTGTTCTGAAATTTTTCTCTTTTTGGGGGGACGGCTGAGCGTCCGGGGGATGTACATTTTTTCTCGGTTGAGCACACGAAGTGACGGAAAAAGGGATTCCCCTGCACCTGATGCAATTAACTCGCTATTAGCGGAGCAGACGTTGAACAGAGGCCCGCCGTTAGGAAAGTATAGCTTGCTGTACGTGATTAAAACGGGAATTCGTTACGGGCACACCGACCACGTCGATAAGATTAATTGATAAATGGCTAAATCGATCGGCTCCGTTGTAGTTTCACTTCGGCTCGGGCTTATCGGGGGAAAGATAAATATCTCGCGGTAGTATGGTAATGATAACCGAGCTAACTCGAGTACACGTTAACCGCGCGATGATCTCTGTCAAATTATCATTGCCACCGTGATATCCCTTATTGGTTTTGTGTATTTTGCAGGAATCTTAACGAAAAGTCCAGAGATTTCGCAAAAAGTGTTCCTGTCACAATCGCAAACATTGTTCGAGAACTTTTATCGAGTCGACTAATGATCGTTGATTTACATCGTTCGAGCGTTACGAAAGAATCGAAACTTGTGTCTCTGACTGAATTGTAAAACAAGCTATCTAATTTTATTTGTAAAGTGTTACAAAAGGCAATTTATCATTGCATGCATTCTCGTCTACGTTTCTCAACGGTATTTCACAATCGTACCGCGAAATGGAATGTAAATAAATAAACTGGGTGGATAAGACCGTTTGTGCAGTTTCTGACACAATGTGTTAGCCGAGACTGCAAAGAAGACTGAAATAGGAAAAAAAAATGAAAATTGACGTTAGCGGCACGGGAGGAAGAGGATCGGAGTTCGCACGTACTCTCGTCGCGGGCCTTATGTTTGAATAGCCATGTTTTTTCGATGACGCATTCGAGGACTGTGTATTGTATTGCACGCACTTCTTGACGATTCGTCGCATTGGTTTTACCGTAGAACACTAAGCTTTTGTATCTATTTGCGAAACATTTCGCGCGAACAGCTTATCTAGACTTATCTAAGTCTGTCTAACAATAAGTTTAAAGTGCATAGCGCAGTGCGTTGACGAATTTCAATTAGAATAAAAATGCGTGCTGCTGGCGGCGTAGTAGCCACCGATAAATAGATACGCGAAATCGATACCGGTAAATCGTAAAACACGTTCACGGAATTAACCATTCGACGCGTGATGGACGTCGGTACTCATTGACGAAAACGATCATTACTACGTCCGCGTTGACGTGTCGGATTTTCTGACGCAAGTTAAGCAATATATATGCATACGTAGTGCCAGGGAAGTGGCTGAGATTCAAGCCACGAATCGTATCTTCGTATACGCTCGCCGGTCGTAGAAAACGTTATAGGTGGACGATGAACGAGAGAAACCGAGTCGACGCTGCATACGGTTGTTCGTGGGCGGTGGTTAAGATTCAATTTCCAACGTATGCTTTTGTTCGGGTTTTTTTCGATCGTTTTACCTCGTGATGAACACGATGCTTCAACGATGCTAACCCTGAATATGCTGTTAGCTGTTTTTCTTTACATATGCAACATGCATCGTTAGCAACCTTGTGTGTATGTCGAACAAACAATATATTCTATCTTTTCTAACAGCTGGTGTATATGACCACAGTGTAGCGAGTTTACGATGATCTAATCGCAGAAAAACTTAACAGCTCGACGTTACACNTTATGTAACAATTTTTCTTTTCTCATTACTCATGAAAAAGTGCGGTATAAAAAAAGATTAGTGCACACGTTGTATCTTATTAAGCCGTTTTGTTCTGAAATTTTTCTCTTTTTGGGGGGACGGCTGAGCGTCCGGGGGATGTACATTTTTTCTCGGTTGAGCACACGAAGTGACGGAAAAAGGGATTCCCCTGCACCTGATGCAATTAACTCGCTATTAGCGGAGCAGACGTTGAACAGAGGCCCGCCGTTAGGAAAGTATAGCTTGCTGTACGTGATTAAAACGGGAATTCGTTACGGGCACACCGACCACGTCGATAAGATTAATTGATAAATGGCTAAATCGATCGGCTCCGTTGTAGTTTCACTTCGGCTCGGGCTTATCGGGGGAAAGATAAATATCTCGCGGTAGTATGGTAATGATAACCGAGCTAACTCGAGTACACGTTAACCGCGCGATGATCTCTGTCAAATTATCATTGCCACCGTGATATCCCTTATTGGTTTTGTGTATTTTGCAGGAATCTTAACGAAAAGTCCAGAGATTTCGCAAAAAGTGTTCCTGTCACAATCGCAAACATTGTTCGAGAACTTTTATCGAGTCGACTAATGATCGTTGATTTACATCGTTCGAGCGTTACGAAAGAATCGAAACTTGTGTCTCTGACTGAATTGTAAAACAAGCTATCTAATTTTATTTGTAAAGTGTTACAAAAGGCAATTTATCATTGCATGCATTCTCGTCTACGTTTCTCAACGGTATTTCACAATCGTACCGCGAAATGGAATGTAAATAAATAAACTGGGTGGATAAGACCGTTTGTGCAGTTTCTGACACAATGTGTTAGCCGAGACTGCAAAGAAGACTGAAATAGGAAAAAAAAAATGAAAATTGACGTTAGCGGCACGGGAGGAAGAGGATCGGAGTTCGCACGTACTCTCGTCGCGGGCCTTATGTTTGAATAGCCATGTTTTTTCGATGACGCATTCGAGGACTGTGTATTGTATTGCACGCACTTCTTGACGATTCGTCGCATTGGTTTTACCGTAGAACACTAAGCTTTTGTATCTATTTGCGAAACATTTCGCGCGAACAGCTTATCTAGACTTATCTAAGTCTGTCTAAGTTTAAAGTGCGTAGCGCAGTGCGTTGACGAATTTCAATTAGAATAAAAATGCGTGCTGGTAGGCGGCGTAGTAGCCACCGATAAATAGATACGCGAAATCGATACCGGTAAATCGTAAAACACGTTCACGGAATTAACCATTCGACGCGTGATGGACGTCGGTACTCATTGACGAAAACGATCATTACTACGTCCGCGTTGACGTGTCGGATTTTCTGACGCAAGTTAAGCAATATATATGCATACGTAGTGCCAGGGAAGTGGCTGAGATTCAAGCCACGAATCGTATCTTCGTATACGCTCGCCGGTCGTAGAAAACGTTATAGGTGGACGATGAACGAGAGAAACCGAGTCGACGCTGCATACGGTTGTTCGTGGGCGGTGGTTAAGATTCAATTTCCAACGTATGCTTTTGTTCGGGTTTTTTTCGATCGTTTTACCTCGTGATGAACACGATGCTTCAACGATGCTAACCCTGAATATGCTGTTAGCTGTTTTTCTTTACATATGCAACATGCATCGTTAGCAACCTTGTGTGTATGTCGAACAAACAATATATTCTATCTTTTCTAACAGCTGGTGTATATGACCACAGTGTAGCGAGTTTACGATGATCTAATCGCAGAAAAACTTAACAGCTCGACGTTACACAGTCTCGATAATAATTCAGTTATTGAGAAAAATCAGTTGGGAACGTAGAGACAGATTAAGTAGGAGATGGGTGGTCAGAGAATCTAATTAAAATCGCGGGGTTCAACGAATTCGCAGAGGACTGATTTAATAAGCACGTGCTGTGTAATTTCAATTAGTTCGCTATATCCGTAAAAACGAGGTGAAAGATAAACCCACCGTGTTCTCGTTCGGTTGCCTATTAATATTGCAAGGCATCCTGTTTTAGTTAAAGGAACGATAAATAATGGATAAAAGCGAATCATTAAATTGATAATGACGTACACTGGTTCGTCGATACGCAACTTGTCGGCTTGGCTTTTTATATTCATGAATCGTGTACACCACGTGCTCATGCGACTGCCCGATAACGGGGTAATCAGGGCTACCCGCTTCATGTACGGGGTGTTCTTTCGATTGCTTAGCTGCAACTCTGTATTTGCAACGATTCTCTTTGTTCTGACTCTTCTATGGAATGCTTCATTCTCAGCATCTGTAATATATGTATATGGAATGTACGAATGCAGTTTGCGCTCGGAGCAATTGCAAATATGCGATTTGTAAAAAACACCCCTTCGAATAACCGCGGATGTCAGTAGCCAAAGTTCCAAGTTGTCGCTCTCTGTTTTATTTTATACGAGATTTGAAAAATTCGCAACAGATGAACTTGTTCGGTTTGACCTCCGCGTGACTTAAACATTCCAAGGAAGCCCGGGAAAGGTTCGGTGGCCTGTCGGCGAGTCACGAACAATCACGAAGTCGAATCGAAAGAGCAGCGCGTTCGGTTTCGAGCAGTCATTCGTAGCGTAGCGTACGTCGTCGTCGTCGTCGTATGTATTCAGCCGGTCAGTATAGTGTAAACTCGGCTTTATTCGGTGGTATCGTGTTCGACTCGGTCGCTTCGTCTGGCTCTCTCGTGGGGCTTAGCTCGGAAAAGGACAAACGGTGCTCGACGACGGACGGGTTAGAGCGGCACGGCGGGAGGCTAGTGGCGGGAAGACGGCGGCGACGGCGACGGGTGGTGGGTGGTGGATCGGTTAGGTGGCGGCGGGAACAGAGGGGGGATACGAAACGCGTAAACAGAGAGTCAACATGTAAACAGGCCACTCGCGAGACAAACAACGTGGGGGCCGCGGGCTGTTCACCGAACGAGGCAGCCAGGCTCTCGCCTGTTCGTTCGTTCGTACGTACGTACGTTCTCTCCGGTCTGGCATTAGTGTGTGCTCCGTTTCCGTTCGTCGCGTCGGTCCGTCTGGTTCTCCACGCTTTCGGTTGGTAAGGTTAACTCCCCGGTGTGTCGTCGGATTCATCGAATCTCGTGCACGTCGTTCAACGTATACTTATCGGCAAGTGTTTTAACACCGCGGAGCCAATCATCGATCGCAGTCGCGTCGTGTTTCAGTTTCGCGGATAACGCACCGATAACAGTTTCACACGGGACACGAGGAACTCGACTCGCTTGTTCCGTGAGCGCGCTTCAAGGTCGGAACCCGAAACTGATTTCGGCTGGTCTGAGTACCGTTTCTACTGCCACCGGCTTAGCCGCTGCGCGCCGTGTCCACTGCGTGCACGTGATTTTCTTTACCTGAGCTCATGTGTCACGCGCATCTCAGCGGCGTCCGTTGGGAGAATGTGACCCGTGCCATTAATGAGAAGTGCTTTTTATCACACTATCGACGTTGCCGAATATCAATAACTCGTTTATGCCGTTGGGAGTCAAGAAGAAGAGTATCTCATTTACGCATATAATAACTTTTTTCATCCGTTTCGGTTTAGTTGTGAAAACTACGAGGGTCAGTCGGTGAGTGTCGATACGCGGCTTTGTTTACACACCTCGCATTCGGCCTCGTTTGTAGTTCATTGAAATAATGCCACAGCTACTGTTGTGCTCGTAGTACCTTTCGGTCTGACCAAAGTTGGAAAACGTTTTCCGGGATAGGAACGCGCAGTGTTAGTAGGTCCTCCGACGATGATGCAGTTTGATTACGTACCGCGTTGCCGGGAAATCGATTAGTGGTTAATCGTGCACGTGAAAATTGAAGCATCGTCGACGATTTCTTCGCGGCGGGAAGAGAAAAGGGCAACATTCCTCCAGTGATCGTCAACAGGTGTACGCCTTAATGATACACCGATGAGACGATGGAGATTGCTGTTAACATTGGTGTACATTGAAGAGGAGGTGCTTTGCGGTCTCGCGTGAATCATTAGTTTCTTGCTGCGGCCCGCTACCACGTGAGTAAGCAATCGTTATCGTACATTTTATTGAGATTTATGCGACGCGTTGTGTTTCTCGTGTGTAAATCTCTAATTGTTCTGGAGAATTGGTCGCACGGCGTTGCGGGCCAACCGGCTTTTACACAAAATTCATAATTGTTTACTCGTCTGTTAGGTCTGCCAGTTTATGCATCGAGCATGCACATAAATATACGGTGTGAACAGAACATTCATGTTACAGTACTAGATCGGAAGCAAAGTGTATCTCCAGAAATATATCTTATCTTATAGTTTATAGTAAAGAACGGAATTGGTTTCATACTCCGAATACCCCGAATAAAACACCGTCGAAAAAAAATAGAAACAAACGAAAACAGCGCGGAAACGATATGATTCTAGTAATGGTTTTTTAATGAGCCCGATCGTCAGGCAAGTAATGTAGGTTACGACACACGTTTCGTCGATTCGATGTTATTCAATGACTTTTCTATTCGTTCCCGTTTCGTTCCGTCGTCGCTTTAAATCTGGAGCGCGTGTACACGTGGGACGCGTGCGCAACCACGTGCATACAGGACATCGTATGATAATATTCGACCGATCTCCGAGAATGGACGTTGACAGCCTAATTCGAGTTGTGTAGTTTTTACGGTATAAATCATTTCAGTTTATAAAAGTCTTCGAACATTCATCGATGTTACCAGCTGACATATAAATGACTCAGAAGTGCAAAAAACTCAGACAATAATTAGAAGTAAACATTTAATCATGCAGCCTATACGCGAATGACTCACTTCGTACAGTCATATCCGAAGAAAACATTTTTTTATAGCTTTTATGGTTTGTTAAACCGTACGGAATTCCGCGAAAAAGCGAAACGATATTTGCTTCTATTTATTGTGCTTCTCGGATTTCTGAGAAGTAAATAATGAACGTCATTTTTTTCTCTCTATTCGCTGATGAATTTATGTGCGTTTTTAACCGTAGTGGACAATTAGAGGATTACGTCTCTGACCAATTCGAAACGAAAGTTCAAGGATGAAGCTTAGGTGGCATTATTCATAAAGTGCTTGTATTTATCGAATGCGTGGCCAGCTTACAATGGTCAGTACGTGTTTATAGAACGACGAAGTCATTTCAGTAAACGATCCAGCAATTATCTCAGCCGACGTGCAAAAAGTATTCGTAATCGATCGAATATTTTCTCGTACCACCCGCTTAATTGTTCATCGGCGATCATTTTTTCCCGAGGGCACACAACGAAACTGCTTAATTGGTTCACTCTCCGGTCTTCTCTCTCGTTGATCAAATCTGAACGATTCAAAATGTCAGACAATTTATTAATGGACGAAATTCTGCGGCTGTGTTTCTTTGAGCCACGAGCGCCTCTTTGATCGGCAGCGTTCAAAACATCGATCATGTGTTTAAACGATTCATTAAATTACTTCGAACGTCGTCCGTTTTCGCTGCAAATCCTATACATAGGAAAAGACCGACTATGAAATAGCAGAGATAATCGGCTGTGCACACCGGAAGTTAAATTTCTCTAAGCGCGGTTCCATTAAGCGTGTCGGGCTGTAATGGTTTTACAACCGTAGATAAGAAGTAAATCTTACTTCTCGAAGTTCCATACCACCGTTTCTTGACACGTATGCTCGTCCGCGGGATAATGAAACAAGTTTCAAGGAGCTGCAAAACACCAACGAGACGATCGCCACTGGCGACTTCTGGTTTATTTATGCCGCCGCTTTTGATTGCGAGTGATTGATTCTTCATTAAAGCTTTTCCCTACGATTTTATTTATTCATGATCTTACTTATTCGAAGAATACTATCGATTGTACGAGGACGATGGCGCCTATCTTGAAAGTCAATCCGGTCTTTAAGGCTTCGCGTAGAACAAAAAACATTAAAAAATGTTTGAGGGCAAAAGCGAGTAAACAGTTGGTTATTTATAGTCGAGCTGTGCGCCGACTTGTAAGGTGGAGCGAATAACGGGGAAAACCGTGAGGTTTAGTCGTCTGTCTATACGCGCGACGATTATTTTCATGGCTGAGAACCAATTCCCTTGTTTTTAAAGTTAATGCCATTCTTTATCATAAAAAGGAAGGAAGATATACTTAATAGACATCTGTAGAGCAATTAGTATTAGTTACGTGGATTTTTACTTGTTTGTGTATTTTATGTCTGTTAGAAATCGTTGTGATTCTTTCAGAGATTCTGAAGTAATTGCCACGCTGTTCTCCACACTTACATTCCTCTTATCAGAAGGTCTCGATTTCTTCCTCACTTCGTCGCCAGGTCCTCGAGACACCCTTATCATAAACACGTATTATGCGACACCATGACTCCAAGTCATCGGTCGCGACACGGATTCTTTTGATTGGCAACAAAGTATCGTCCGAGTCCGTGGCATCCGCAATTCTTCGAACTCTTCGCGCTTCTATCGGTAACCTTCGGTTACAGATATCTCTACTTTGTGTTCTACTACTACATTGTATCTGTCCATTATCCGAATATCGGAAACAAGAACTAGACTGCACATGCCCTGTGTGTTGACCTCAATATGAGCCGTCGTTCTTAAAAAGGACTCGTCGCTAACATATTCTTATTCATTTTTTTAAAATATTCACTTTTTCTTTCTACCATGAAGAATAAAATGTTCATTTCAGTGCTACATTCAGTTAATGAGTTTACGTGCGCCGACCAGTAACTTACCGCGTATCTCGTTATTTGTCACTGCTTAGGAAATGAGCGACACGCTATGCACATATGATTTCCGGTGGCAAAGTGTCGTCAAATACGTGAATCGGAAAGTGGTGAAAGGAACGCTGGACAGCATTTTTTATGAAAAGAAGAATATATTATAATTCGCGCGTAACACATAAAGAACAGAAAGGCAGTAGTGGTTGTAGATCGGCGTAAACAGCGCGAAACAAACAACTGATAGAAGCGAAATAAAGAGTGTGGCGCGTTTAAAGATTTCATTGAACTGGTACGATAATGGACACCGCATATACAAGCCTAACGACTCGCGCCGCCGTCGCGTCGGCCGGTTCGTATTATCAAAAGAAACTATTGTCAGCCTGTTGTTAACAATACGTTGTTATTAAAGTCTGCGTATCCTCGTGACAATCAAAGACATTGTGTGTCGCGTCACGGTACCTGTCAACCTAGAAAATCGTAGAACCGAACTTTTGTTCTCCGCGAGACAAGGTTTCTCGCACCTCGCATTAATCGCCTCGCCGTGACCTTCGCTACGAAATCGCCAAATGGTGCGACACGATTTTTAACTCCCGGCAGAATTTCAGTTTCGCCGTGAACGACGATTACCTGTTAAAAAAGCTCGGGGTGGACTAAAGGTATTATTTAGTCACGCGGATACCGATTGTGTTCGTTCAGATTTATTGCTGTTTTACGGAGCGAAAAGAATCGTTAAAATTTTCTCGCTCGTCTCCGGCGTGTCCAAGAGAATGTAAACAATTCTATGACTTCTAAAAGATACATTGCATTCGCATGGTCATTATCGGTTTTCTATAAATAAAATCACGCTTCTCGATAAAGCTGCCTAGCGCGCGAGCTGGAGTCGTTTAAAACGCGAGATTTACAGAGTTCTGTTATATAAATAACCACAATCACGGTCTGTGACGTCGGTTCACGTGTAGTTCGCACACATTTGATCGTTTCCTTTCTCTTTTGTTTTCAATGAAGACTAATCGCTCGTTCCTGCCTCGCTTCTGACACTCCGAAATATACTAGCTGGCACGGCGGTGGGGGGATTAATGAATTTCGACCTGTTCCGTTCGCCACTTTCGTTTCACGTTTCGATGCTTCTTCCCCTTTCACGCCAATACCGTTTAGCAATCGTATACCAGTGTAAAAAGTCGTTGATTGGTTTCGTTTCTATCGTTTAAAAGAAGCCGGCAGGAATGCGAATATTAATTGCTAAAAATCTATGAGGCCATTACTATTCGATTTGCCTTACCCAGTAACTAGCCACCAGATGTTCTTTCGACTCTGCTATTTACGTACATACGTACACGTTCACGCGCAGTTAGTCGAAGATGTATCGTTCTGCGATTATTTTTCATACTGACGTGAAACAACAAATTATTTACAAGATATTTTCCACGGTTTCTTACGCGACCGTAGGAATGCATAAGCCTCTCGCGAGTCCGTTACTTTCTGAACGTTCGCCCATTGCCGAGATTAGAGTAGCCGCATTACTCATTCTCCGACCTAATTGCACGCGGCACACCGCACCGCGGCGAGGAAAGTCGACGCTGCGCGACGCGACGCGCGGAGCAGGCAGGCACACGGGCTTTTCAACAACGTTGTTTATCCGTTCGTACCGCTTGAACGAAACATTTTCGTATCGCGTCGCGGCTCGCCGCGGCCCCGGCCGTTCCGTTTGCGAGTCACCAGACACGCGCGCGACTCACTGTACACGGTTGCCGGCATTTTTAAACTGGTACACTCGGAATTGAAAAAAAGCGGCATGAATGGCGCCTTGGAGGTTTCGTTTACACCGGCTCGGCTGAATATCAAAGCACAAAATGGGGCTTTGAGCGTCGCATCGACGGCGACGTCGAGCCGCCGCGCCCGTGTGTGCTGTGCGTGTACGCGTGTCGGTGTGTTGTTTAGAACGCGACACGACCGTCGTAGAATTAACGCGGGGCCGGAATTTTTTCCGGTGCTCCACTACGCCTCTCCTTCTTTTGCCGCGTAACGATTCCACGTTTCGAGTATGCGACATGTACTACATACGGTTGACAAAAAATGAAAGCGAAAGTGATGCGAGACGATTCGACATTGTAACTTGAAAATGTTCTCGTTTCGCGTGCGTACACGCACGCGTTGTGTTCGCGGTTCGCAGTTTGCGCCGTCGTTGGTGTACGTGTATTTAAGGACGTATAGGCTAAATACCTAAACAATGCTAGCATGTTGAATTTGTTATTATAGATTCCTATTACTATTAAAAAGCTACCTGTAAAATTTTAAATCAATTCACGAGTTTTTCGAAAAA